TCTGGGGGTGGCGGCCGGCTGGGAGAGGCCGGTTGTAAGGCGGTGAAGCCCGGGGTGGATCTGCAGTGCTGTTGCAGCTGTCCGTACTTGTGTCTCGGAGGAGGGAATCGTGATTCCGTGCAGTCGTACGAATGATCTGAGTGATCGGCTTCCTCCGCGAGGGGGGATGCCGGAGCTCTGCGGGTGGGCAAAGGAGGGAGTCGGCTAGTTGCCGAGACTCTGTATTGATACTGCGACGATCCTCTGGGTCATGTCTGAGGGGAGGCTCGAGTTCATCTCTTCAGTTGTCGAGCATCTTCCCCATGTGTCCCTGAGCCCTGTAAAGAGGACAAAACTTTTTGGCTTGTTATACTGAAACGTAAATTTATTGAAGGCTGTGAGTTGTTCCTCTTCGATCAGTGATTACCAGGGCGCGTGTGTGAATAGCCACACGTGGTAAAATGTAATGCTGCTGAGTCGTTTGTGCTACCGTGGGACTACAGTCTGAAACCAGTTCACCTTTGCACTGTAAACCTTCGTGGAGACGGTGTGCTTTTCTGAGAGCGCGTTTAGAGTTAGCTGTCTGTCATTAGCTAGATAAATCTGTAGAGCGTAGACAGGTCATCGTGAAGCCTTTTCAGCGTGTAGGGTGGCACGTGTTGCTAATGCAGAGACTCCCTGTGCACAGTGTGTGGTTTCCAGACTGGCAGAGCACAGCAAACCTTTCTATTTCAGCATTTCAGACCCGTTCTGCTGTATCTCAGCTAACGTGGCAGGTGCCTGTCTTGGAAGTGGCTTAAAGCTTTCCCAGTGAGTCTGCTTCTCTGGAGTTGGTGGGATTATGTGCAAAACTCCTGTCATTTTTATTAGATGCTGTGTTTATGTTCTTAAATACGTCAATGGCTTGCTGTATTTCTAAGGTGGAAGTGGAAGCATAAGCAATAATGTTAAATAGCCACTTCTTAAGATTCTCATTAGAAAAATGACCCTAGTGATGAGATTTTGATTATGTCTACCTGCTTTGAAAATTCAAACCCATTTCATGGGTGATTTACAAGGTGAAAGAGAACAGAAGACATATAACATGAGATTCTTTAATTTAAAATGGTCTAATAATTTAGCCAGTAGTGTATCTAGAATATTATGGGGTAATTGCCATGCATATTCAGCTCCTATTCATATGAGAAAGCGTTACGATGTAGGTGGATGTACTTGTTCCTGAGCTAAGGATAGGCATTTAAACATCTTTTTAATTTTAAAAAAGCTTTACATTTTCCCATAATTCTGAAAAGTTGTTTGTTTTTTTTTTCTCTCCAAGTGAGCTGGATGTTCTGTGTTTAAATTAGTAACACTTAATAGTTATTTGAATGCTTGGAATTTTTTTGCATGTGTGCTTTTATAGAAAAGGACTTCAAAGCCAGTTATTTTCTGTCGGATGGTAATTTTGAGTCACACTAGGGTATTGCTGTAGCATGTGTTTTACCCAGATACATATGATGTTTCTGGCTTTCCCAGTGACTGGCTGAGCTGTGTATGTAGTTGTGAAGATCTGTCTGTTTGCGGCTGCAAATGCTTCCGTTTGATTTCTCCTATGCCTAGAAGTATCCTGGGTCTTGCTCTGTTTTTCCTAATTTTTTTTTTCCTGGGGAAAACCTCTTTGTTTGCCGCTCGTAAATTATAGCTACCTGCTTGTAAATTCATATGTTGTCCCTCAGTTCTGTCTGCCTTGGGCTTAGATTATCAAATTTATTTTCTTGTTGCCTCCAGAACTCAAAAAGTGTAATCCATCAGGTCCTGAATTTCATTTGGCCTTTGAGATGCAAACCTCTAAGGCTGTTGGGAAGGGTGATAATTTCTTATCCTTTTGTCTTTAGCACCAGAAGGGGAAACAAATCCAGTTTAAACGCCTTGAGACTTTTGTTCGAGATTCATGGCGCAAACAGCGAGATGACATCCGGCTGAGGCGCATGGAGCAGAGACCTGGACAGACGGCTGTACCTCAGGAGCACAAACTAGCCTTTGTTGTGCGGATTGTAGAGTAAGAAACGCTTGTTACTCCTTACCTTTATTATTGCTACTATTTGTAGCTGTCGTATCATTTCTAAGCAAAGGAAGGGTGATCAACCCAGACATGTCTCCTCGCGGGTAATCTGGGACCTTTTGTTGCCGTATTAGAGAAATGTGGTTACTAATAGTTTTTTTTTTCTGACTCAGTATTAAGGGAGTGAGTAGGAGGGTAAAAAGAGTGATTGAGTTGCTGCGGCTGAGAAAAAATTTCACTGGAACATTTGTTAAACTGACTCCTTTATCGCTGAAGATGCTGCGGATTGTGGAACCTTACGTGGCGTGGGGGTAAGTACCAGTCCCGTCACTTGGTACTAGTTTGTATGTAAATATCATAGCTTTTTGGTTCTCCATCTGGTATCACAAATCCATAGCTGGCTTTTCCAGTAATGGTCAAAACTTTGTCAACTTTATATCTAAACTGTGTTACTGTCCCTTTTCTCATCGTTGTAAACATAACTTGGTTACTTTCCTACCTCTATAGAAAGAAGTAGGATGTATCATGTCTCTCCGTTACAGAATCTGATTTTTGTTTTTGCACAGACACCCTAACCTGAAATCTGTACGAGAGCTCATCCTGAAACGGGGCCAAGCCAAGATCAAGAAAAAGAGGGTGCCTCTGACAGACAATATGCTGATAGAGGAACATTTAGGTGAGGAAGAGGATAAGAAAATGAAGTGGATCAAGGGAAGAGGCAGATATTGAGAGTTTGCAAGCTGACCTAAGAGGGAGGCGAGGGAGAAAAATCTTGCAAGATTTGTATATGGAGGACTGGCAATTCTGGAGTAGTGTGAGGAAAGATGGTACAATTGGGCATCTCGTGTACGTGTCATTTGTGGGGGGCTTTTTGTTGTTTTGTTGGTTTTTTTTTTATTTTTTATTATTATTGTTTATTATCGCTGCAGGGGTCTATGGTATTATTTGCCTGGAAGACCTTATTCATGAAATCTACTCAGCTGGGAAGCATTTCAAAAAAGTCACAAACTTCCTATGGCCATTCCATCTGTCAGTGGCTCGCCATGCTTCACGTAACAAAGTGGGTTTCCTCAAGGAAATGGGTAAGCCTGGCTGCAGAGGTGAAGCAATCAACCAGCTTATACGTCAGCTGAACTAGTCAGGTGAGGAATGTCTGCTGTGTAACTTCTAAACTTTATCCTTTATCTGGTTTCCTAAGAATAACTATACTGCCATCGGAGATGAGGGGGGCTCCTTTGTTTTTGATTCTTCATTGTACAGAAGTGACCCTCAAGGTAGGGGAAACTATTGAAGAGCGTGGGTCCCGTTAGGTATCAGTAAATCCTATTGGACAGCTCCGTAAAGGCTTGACTTCTGGGAGATTGCATTAATATGACTGATTGGGTTTTTTTCTTTCCTGTTCTTCAGGGTCTTTGTGAAAACTTCAGGATTTATAACCTCTTCCTTTTCGCATGTAGTTTTCATGGACATTATCTCTATGCAATGATACGCTATATCTCTCGACTGTTGGTGCCTCTATAAAAAAGGAAAAAATACACAGATGATGAAGATGGACTTCGGGCTGGTCCTTCTTAAAGAAGAAGATAAATTGTATTTGGTATAAGGAAGTGACTTGAACTTCCCGGAGCAATCTCACTTCTACGTCTCTCTTAAAACAAGGGGTTTTTTTATATTCGTTACTGCTGGCTCTGTACCAGTCACCTGATCTCATCTTGGGTATAAAGCAGTGGTTGGCAGTTCCTGATTTAAATTTCTGTTACCGTTGACTTGCACTCGCTGCTTTGCTCCAGTCCTCCCCCGGGGCAGCGCTTGAAGTTGCACTCCCTGAAGTGCACCTCCTTCTAGGTGTAAAGGGGTAGTGCAGTCACCTGTTTAAGAATGTTGCTGACAGGCAGAAGAAAACACTAGGTATTCCTCTGTTACCACAGCGCAAGCCCTAGTAGTGAATAATGTAACATTTTTTGAAGTACCTAGATTGTATTTATTTTGAAAAGCTGTGATTTTTTTGCTACTGATTTAGAACAGGCTGCCTTTTCAATTCTGCTAGATTGGGACTGCTGGAGAGAGCTATTTCCTGGCAGGAAAGCCCAGAAACTTTGTAGTACAGTGGTGGAGTATGTGTAATCAATGTTTTTTAAATAAACTTTTGAAATCACACTGTTAAAACAGAGGAGTTGTATACAACACTAGAAGAGTGGGAAAAGTTAAATATTCTGCCTGAAGTGAATTTGGCGAAGGAAGTGAACAAAACCATGGAAGAGCCTGAAAGTTCTATTAACACTTAAAAGAATTTTAAATCCCTAATTTCTTCCAGTACAAAAATGTGTGAAGAATGCAGAAAGAGTCCTGTGCTATTTAACGAATGTGGAAGGCGCTGTGCTTAATCATTAGGTCACTGTGACTATTTATACTGTTATTTGAAGACTTAAGTGAGGGCAAGCGATCAATCCATGAATAGATGTCATATTAACTCCACTTGTTTCGAGACTCAGAGGAAACAGCTGAAGTAACAATATAAGTACGATGCCTTTAGGTTATGACAGTTATGAACTAAGATGTAGCATTCATAAAACCATCTAAAATACCAAGTACTACAGACTCTGAGTTAGAGAACACTATACAGTTTCAAGCTTTATTCTGTAGAACAAGAATACAAACATAGAAAATGCTTGACAGAGACTAGAGACATACACAGGCTTAGAACACCACCACGCCCAGAACTAGAGTCCAGCAGTCGTTAATATACAAGGCTTCATATATTTAAGATTTTCCTGATAAACAGCTGCTTTCATTTTAAAAGAGGTACAAGTAACTTCAGAATTGTTCTGTTGATTCAGTTTAGGATTGTTTCTGGTAATAAAACAGCCCAGGCTTTTAACATAAAGAACTGGCATGTCAGGAGACTTTTAGTGCCAGAGAGAACTTAAGCCTGCTAATAGAATGCAGTTTATAATAATCTTAAAATACTGAATTACAGGATCTGAACACAATTCTAGCAATTAATCCTAGATTTAGGCAGTTTTTCTAGTGAATGCAGTAGTTTTAACACACCATTAGTTAGGCTCATACAGTTAAGAATTTAACTACCATCATGAATACTTATTTAGACCTCTTTAAAAACAATACCAGCTTAGTCTAGTGTTCCACCACATTATCACAGACAAACGTTACCTTTTTTTCTGTATACTTCAGCAAGAGCAACAGTAATGATGTGTTCATGACTTAGCTGCACTATGAACAGAAACTGTACAAGGTGACAGGATATATACAAAACCCCCATGGCTTAGGGAAAGGAATCCTTTTTGTAAGCCACCATACTATTTACTTTGTGGATTGTAGTAGTGAAGGAACGAAGACGAACCTCTTCCGAATTGGCTACGAATTGTGGTCCTGACTCTTCCCACTTTTCTGGCACCGCCAAGTCTTTATCTGTGTATATCAGCAAGTCAAAGGCACCTGTAGGCAAGTGGAAACAAGTTAACAGTAATGCACGCATAAGAAGATGGCATGTTTGAAGTTAAAGTGCATCTTCTAGAACTTGAGACGTGTACCAAGGTTCTCAGAAATTACACTGATACTAGTTATGTGAAAAGAAATAGTAGTTAAAACATGAAAACAAAGTCCTGGTTATATTCACATGTAGCCTGTTTAGTTTTCTCACACAAGTGATGTGAATTTTTTTTTTTAAAATGTTAAAATACTGTGGACCTGAGCTCTATGTAACATTTCATATGAATTCAATGGTTATTTATACAAGGCTCTCCACAGCTACAGTCACAAAATAATTTATTATTTGTGAAAACTTAGCATTCCGCAGAGTACACATACTAGTTTCATCAAGTTAGTTAGGTGACCCCGAGTTCTGTCCTGATCTCAGTCTAACAAAATGCCGTCTCAGAAATGTGATGGTGTATGACATGTAATAATTAAAAAGCCTCAGAAAATCGGCAGAAAATATTTTCTAAAGTGGCAAAGTTGTTGAGGTTTTCCAAAAGAAGTGTTTGATGTCTTCAGTGAAGTTAGGAATACTCACAGGCAGTCTCCAACAGTGGCAGAAAAGTTACTGTGGCAGTTATTTGTCTGATAACAGATCGAATTTCATCCTGAATAGCTTTCTGAGATTTTTCTCGTGGTGCACTGGAAAAATAGGAAAACTGTTAAGAAAGAAAGCCTCTACTATACTGGCAGTTTTCTTTAAATACGGTTCTTTCTATTAAGCTCTCTTGGTCTGTTTGCTATTGGATTTTTTATAGTAGTGACACTCTTAAGCTCTAGGTAGATAGGCTTAGAAAAGTTTGTGAAGCTTCACAGTATTTGTAAGTAATGTTACATTTATTCTCAGTCTGGAATGGATGAGAACATTTTGGCATAACAACAGGAAAGCAGTAGTTCTTTAGGGCACGTACCTGATACAGGATTTTATATACTTTGTTGAAGATTAAAAATCAAGTTTTGATCTGATGCTTTAAAAAAAAAAAAAAGGTCAACACCTGAGGATTATGTATGCTTCAATCATATAGTGACTGGTTTACTGACAGACAGAAGGAGTAGCAGTAAGAAAGGTAGTAGGTTTGGTAGGGTTTGAAGGAACATCTTCCATGCTCATGCTGAGAAAAGGCTATCTCGGCTGCTCCGAGGAACCAGATCAGTGCTGATGCACACGGCGTTTATCCTGTGCCTGCAGAGCT